CTGTACGCATTAACGTATATACCTTTTATTGTGGCGTACGACACATTTCGATTAGAATTTTAACACTGTCTCTCTCTCTTCAGCGTCTTGTACTGCTCAAAGTTTCATTACTTATGCGATTCTTAACTTGTTATTATCCTCCTTTGTCTAACTAGGAGGGACTAAAAGACCTCTATGCTATTACCCTTTGACTAACCAATGTTCCAGAGAACACACTTGCAATCAATGCAGGATGGGATAATAGTGCATGAGTGTGTGTGCAAGTACTATGGTGCACTTTTTATTCTATTGCTGATGCACTCTCCAGTCTGTTCTCATAGTCCGATGGGACGACAATTTCGCAAGATCGGAGAGATATCAAGCGCAATACCAACGGATTAACGTGATTTCCGAAGGACGAGGGTGAAAGCAGTGCCAACTTCATGATTTCGGACTGCTACTTAGGATTTCTTGACAGAAAAACCCAATAACTTGTTTTAGTCCGACTCTGGATTCGACCCGGGTATACATAATTAGCATCGCGCTAACGACATAAAATAGCAGCTTAACTGTGTTTTATATGGTGAGTGAACAGAATCGGAAACTATTTTTACTTAATCGAGGCTTTATGTAGATGTCTATGGGCCATAGCATCCACTTACCATCTGGTGGACTGCGTGCTCGCTTGTTATCCTTATTCTATGAACAAAGAAACAGTCATGGACACAATTGTCTCTTTACCTCGTGTGTTGAAACCAGTTTACGATTCGACTTTATCTTAAATAATTTTATTTTCAAGATTTCTTACGATTTTGTTACATTACTAGTAAGCCCGGCGCATGTTTTTCTGCACTTTCATGTTGGTGACAGGATTTTTTTTATAGTCTAAGGGTGACAAACGAGCACACATTCCACCTGATGGTAATTTAATGCTGTGGCCCATAGACATCTACATTTAACCTCGATTAAGAATCAAAATGCAGATGCGTTGTCACCCTTGAGGACTAAGACGAAATGCCTCGATTCCAGTAAAACGTGTCTCCGGTTCTCTACACTCACCATACGAAACACAGCAGCATTAAGCTGCTATTTTACGCTGGTATTCTGTGAGAGCGTGGTCCTTCCCCGGTCGGGCCGACCCATTCATGCTACAACCATAATATAGCTGAAGCGTGGCTCTACCACGTATAAAATGCAATTTGACCAAAAAATATAGAATAAATACTGCGTCACCTGTCGAATCCTAGCATAGACCTATGCGCCATTGACTTGTTAGAACAAATAAATATTAAAGTGTGAATATAACCTTAATCAGTCAAGTAGTTCAGAACATATTATTGTAATATAAGTTCTAGAGTTACACAATCACTAACAGACGCACCAACGATTATTTTACATATTTGCATATAAAAATAAATATTTATAACAGTTTTAAAATTTCATGTTTTATACATAATTTAAAAATAAACGTTTAAATTATATATGGTATGACCTTTGTTTCCACGTCTTTCCTTCATTATTGAGAAACACGTTACGTACTTTGCATGTCCATGGTTTTAGGTTTTATAATTTATCATCGATCATAGAGACTGTAGCTCGAGTACTATTTAGGTAATTGTAAAGTAGCAACTTAGTAAAGTAATTGCTAACAATTTTTCTCTTTAACTCAGTCGACTTTAATAACGTTCACGGGATAGGATGGGTGGGATGGTTTCAGTAATCCTTTGGCGTATGGTGTCCATACACCAAAAAGTAATTAAATTGTTGAATAAAATCTAAATTCTGTGTATTCATATGATAAGTACCTAAATTTTTCGGTTACCAATTTTCAAATAAAACTCATTGATTTATCTGGTATAACGCTAATGTTATTTTTGAACATGCAAACTAATTTACAGCGGTGAAATATTTCTGATATTGTCTGTTTTGAGGAATCTGCGGGTACTACTTTGTATTACAGTTTAGACTATCAATTTTAAAATGGTAATAATAAAGCGATCGAAACTAATAGTAATAGTATTAAACGGCATTATTTTTATTGAAATTTATTTATTTTTATATAAATATTGTAACAATGCTTACTCAAGCAATTTGGCCTCTTGAAAAAATTTTATAGAAGGAAGGGTGAAAAATTAACGCAGTCTACCTGATGGTAAGTGGACACTACGACCTATATATATATATATATAATCTTAGTATATATATATACATATATATATATATATATATATATATATATATATATATATATATATATATATATATATTCCCGAATAAGAATCAAAGTGCAGATTCGACGTCACCCCTGAAAAAAATAGATTACATTTTTACCAGTAAAAAGGACGTTCGGTCTGGAACCGGTCCGAACACAGCAGCAATTTGGTGCTGTTTTATGGTGATATTCTATGCGAGCGTAGTTATTTCCCGGTCTAGCTTGACTATTTGTGCTGCAACTATAACAACGCAGCGTGGTGCTAAATAAATACCAATAACAGTGACTTATGTAAATATTTCTTTACTTAACTTTTAATTATAGAGTAATTTCTAAGATTATGTGGACATTAGGTCAAGAACTCTATAGTTAAGGCATTAAGTATTCTCACTCACCACTAACTTAAGTTATCGGGGTTAGATCATCGACCACTACTACATAGCTACTATGTATTTTCTGAATATTTTAAAAGATTATTTTTTTAATTTTTAATACAGATCATTTGTAGGTACATATTGATCTTTTCGTTGCATAAACGATACAAAAGAACAAACGACAAAATAGTGCAGTCCTCATAAAGACAGATTAGTTCCGCAGAGCCCATTCACAGCTTAGGTTTCTATTGTTCCCGGAAAACTTTTTAGGCCAACCTCATACTCATACTAATATTTGTCGAAATTGGTTGTCTACTATAGCTACTGCATTTAAATCAAACGCTACAAAACATTGCCTATATTTCTTGATTACATTTGGGATTTTTTATTCAAAATCCCGTTGAATAAAACTAAATTTTCGGATTATATTGCGTTTATTTAACTGATTTTACTTATTTTTAATTCCCGACGTTTCGGGTGCTTTACAGCAACCATGGTCACGGGGGGGACTGAGATGTTTGACGTCCCAATGTCATTGTTAGCCCGGCTACCTTCAGTTTTTCAGTTACGAACTTAAAGTTCGTTTTGCGTAAATCGGACCAAAAATTAATATTCAAAAACTGAAGGTAGCCGGGCTAACAATGACATTGGGACATCAAACATCTCAGTCCCCCCCCCCCGTGACCATGGTTGCTGTAAAGCACCCGAAACGTCGGGAATTAAAAATAAGTAAAATCAGTTAAGTAAACGCGATAGAATCCATAAATTTAGTTTTATTCAATGTGTAGTGTTCGCGTAAATTTAAGAAATCAAAATCCCGTGTTTTAACAAACTGTTATTCCGAGTTCGATCATATTTGCAGAAGCATTTACGTAGTTAGCACAATTGTCAATAAAAATCCTTGGAACCAACTTCCTCTTAGGGTAGTTTTAGAAAGATTCAGGATCTACATGTATTTAAAACTGCATCAGGACAACGTCACGGGAATGAGTTTATATATAGAGTTAAACAAGGAGTATATGTGGCGCTTCTAAGGTACAGTGGGAGTTTTGGCACACACTCGCTGTCAATATTTCGAATAGCAGCCCAGAAACGTCAACTGCCAGTGACCGTATTTATTATAACGAAATTAGTACAGGCACCACGGCCCTGAAACGGAATGCTAGCATGTGTGTTATGTGTTCAATCAAATCTTAATAATGTATTTAATTAATGTTATAGTTGTCATCACCATTATTTATCTGACTGCAGTGGTAGTGCTATCGGTCTGTCTTTATGGCGGCTTCGCTGTTTAACATCACGTATACTTACTCTTACAGTAGATTTCTCTTTCTAAGGATATATATAATAGGTATGTCGTGGCTAGATCGTAGAATTGATCGTAAAATGCTCGGCCATTTCATGAAACGCAACCATTTCTACGGCTTTGGGCCATCCCCGCCGCTTTATATAAAATATGCATATATAGTTATAATATCATATAAGACAAAAAGTGATGTATTTTATTGAATATTAGATGAAATTATTTTACGTTAAGACCATAAAATGCTTGAAGCTGTGTGTTTAGTTTTATCGTCAAACTATCTCAATTAATTGATTTGGTAATATCTAAATATGGTCAACAATCAGTGAAATATATTATGAAATGCCACTATTTCACGAAATGATCTACTTCTTTATGATAAGATCAATTCTACTCACGTCACGGCATACACAAACACATAGGTACATGCTTGGAATTATTGTTTAAGCGTTGCTTTTAAGCCGTATCATATTGAATAATTTGCTGAAAAGAAATCTCTTTCATAAACGCATTTTATAATATGAAGTAACGACGTTGTCGTTGATTAAATAAATTTTAGAAACAATTTTCCATTAGGTGAACGGAAATTAAATTTTACATAATATATTGCTCTTTTTAAATATGCTGTAGATATTACATATTGTCCTTTATCGGAAACATGTTATAAGGAAATATAGTTTTACGTGGTAGAGCCATGCTGCAGTTATATTAATAGTATAGTTGTAGCACGAATGGGTCGGCTCGACCAGGGAGGAACCACGCTCTCACAGAATACCAGCGTCAAATAGTAGCTTAATGCTGCTGTGTTTCGTATGGTGAGTTTATAGAACCGGAGACCCTTTTTACTGGAAACGAGGCATTCCACCTGAGTCCTCACGGGTGACAACGTATCTGCATTTTGTTTCGTAATCGAGGACAGATTTAGATGTCTCTGGGCCACAGACCACAAGAAAAAAAAAAAAAAATATAAAAAAAAATAATATATATAATAAAATAAAATATAAAAAAATATATATATATATATATATATATATTATTAAATCTCTAAAGGTTCGATGCTTGCTTAGTAACGTTATGTAAATATATATATTTGCTTTTTGCATAAATTTTTTACTTTTCGTCTCTCCAGCACATGGTGGGGACGGGCATGGCGAACCCGTTTCCTGCGGCGGCGGCGGCTGCGGCAGCAGCGGCTCAGTTCGCGGCCAACGGCGACGCGTTAGCCGGAGTGAAGGCCGAAACAGTTGGACACACAGCACCACAGCAGGCTCAACTGGTTAAAAGCGAAGGCCCACCGCCACCGGCTCCACTCCCGCCTGCCAATTTCTCACCGCAACCTCCCCCACAGCCGCACACACAGAACTCGATAGAAAATCAAAACAATAACTCGGTAAGTGTTTTTATATCATTATTTAAATTGTATTTATTATGTTTTTTTATTTTTATTTTTAGCCGTGGATTGGCGGTGTGGAAATATCCACTACCCTGTATCTTCCCGAAGGTGCCGTAAGAGGCGGCAGAGGGAACATGAAACAGGAGCAACATCGTCTTGATAACGACTCAAAATAATAAAAAAAACTGTGGTTGCTAACCCCCTAGCCAAGCATAGCAACTATGGCAACCTATGAGGGAAGCCTATGTTCAGGTGTACTTTTATATATTATATAGGGTGACAAACGAGCACACAGTCTACTTGATGGTAAGTGGTTGCTGTGGCCCATAGTCATCTACATCTATCCCCAATTACGAATAAAAATGCAGATGCGTTGTCACCCGTGAGGACTAAGATGGAATGCCTCGTTTCCAGTAAAAAGGGTCTCCGGTTCTCTACACTCACCATACGAAATAGGTCGTGCACCATTAAGCTGCTATTTCACGCTGGTATTCTGTAAGAGCGTGGTTCCTCCCCGGTCTAGCCGACCCATTCGTGCTACAACTATACTACTAATATAACTGCAGCATGGCTCTACCACGTATAAAACTTTCCTCGTGTGTTCGTTCAGTGTCTGCGAGAAAAGATTTCATATCTTATACCACAGAATTACGAACAATACTAACGAACCTATATCTTGTATAACATAGCTATAATTGCTCTTCTGGAAGCCACTTTAACGATTTGAATGGAATTATGTACCTATAATAAAAATAATCTTTTATTTTCCCAATCAATTTAGATAGGTGTCATCTAGTGTCATCCCTAGAAACATTCTTTAAGCGCGATGCAAAGCTCGCTCGCCCAGTTGCTTAAAATACATTACAAACTGATGGTAGAATGCTTGCTATCTTCGTGTTTCAGACAAAATTGTAATGCATAGAAAAAACTGCGTAATATTAAAAATTTAGATTTGGCCTTCTCAGACAAAAATAATTTTCAGAATCGTTGACTTGAATCAAAGAGTAAATATTTTCAAATAAAAGATGTTTTTTCTTACATATTTCTTACTTTCTTACCAACATTAATTTATTGCGTCTGCCTCTGAGTAAAAATCTTCATATTAATAGTTTTCAGAAGCCAACGTAGCAGTTTTAGAAATATTTTATATTCAAATGTTCTGCATGAAAACATTATAAACATCATCTTTCACAATCAACATTACGCCTACTAAGAATGTTTAGTAGTGTACATTTAAATAAAACTAAATTTTACGGATTTTATCGCTTACATTTCCGAAGTTTCGAGCACATTACAGCACCCATGGTCGGGGGGGGGGGGGGGATACTGAGGTGTTCGACGTCCCAATGTCTTAATCCTTATGATATGTTAACGACGGCTACCTCCATATTATTTGTTTTAAACTGTTTGAAAAAATATTGTAGTTTTAATCTGGAGGTAGCCGTGGTTTCCCGCGACAATACGTGCTGTAAAACGTGCTCGAAAAGTCGGGAATATAAAATAGGTTAATATACGTGATAACATCGGTAAAAACTAGTTTTATTTAAATGAATAGTGTTCGCATAAATAAACACATCAACAGAATCAAGGGATATTTCATCAAATACCTAAAAATCTATAAATAATTTTCTGATATAGTAAATAGAAGAATGATTGGTTATTTTAAGGTTTTTAATAAAAGATAAAAACATTTCGTATCTTTTTGTTTTAAATAAAAATGTAAATATTTTTAATCGCCGTAAATATAAGAAATCATTGGTAGTGTACAGTTTGCATTATTTGGTGTTTCTATCACGAAATCATTGTTTATTAATGTTGTTCATCAAGGACACCTGGGGCACGATTTTAAATTTGCTAAACCTAAATATCCAGACCAGAGGTAACACTATCCTTGACCTTGACAAAAGATAGGTAGCGTAGTACACAGAATATAAATTATTTTAGGACTTTACAATGTGCTGTGTCCTGGTTTTGGTCTGAGGTTTCTGGGTCGTGGGGTTTGTGTGATTGTCCCCGAGTTTCTGACACTGCATCCTAGCCTTCTTTCCACCTGATGGCGTTACATTGATCAGATTAGGACGAGTGTATGTCTCTTGTTAGCGCGTAAATGTCTAGCACTATACACCTCAAGCGCAGTTGCTAGCTTTAGACAGTATTTGTAAGTTGTCATCATGATTGAAATCGTCCAGGAGAGCATCAGTGTCCCTGATTGTTATCTGTACACGATCCGCAGCAGAGCGAGGGCGAATCAACAGAGGAGAGCACGCCTGTGAGCGTGGCGGCGGCGGTGGTGGCGCAACAAGCGGCCGCGGCGGCGCAGCAGGCGGTCGCCGCGCACGCCGCCGCCGCCGCCGCCGCGGCCGCCACCGCGAACGCCGCCTCCGACAAGAGCCTCGTGCCCGTCTCACAAGCCTCCCAGCCGAAGAGGCTACATGTCTCCAACATACCTTTCCGCTTCAGAGATCCCGACTTAAGAAATATGTTCGGCGTACGTATTACACTCCTTTTTTTTTAATGCACGGCATGAACCCCTTCACGTCACTGAGCTTGCAAACTCCGATCTATACTTCATTAATAGCCGATGTTTTACATTTCAGCAATATGGAACGATACTTGATGTAGAAATTATCTTCAATGAACGCGGCTCGAAGGTAAGCATGGTTCATTCTGTCTCAACTCTTTTTATAACAAAGTGACCCTGAAATCCACCTTAATAACGTGGATCTCATTGTGGCCACTTTTACGATTTTTATAAAGAGACTATGTCTTATGAAGCAATAAACACATGAGCCGTGAACCGTTTACGAACTTTTATGACTTACTAAAGTCTGCTATTATTAGATAAAGCTTATCGTAAATTATATTATATCTCATTAAACAAAATAATAAACGTAAGGTTTTAGTTCAAATATTAACAAATTATTTATGAATTTAAACTTTATTTCTTATTAATGTTTGTGTGAAAGTATTAGAAGAAAATTTTTATGAGGGGAATGTTTATTGCTTCATTTATTTTTGTGAATTATAGGAATTATTGTGATATTAAGTACACTGCAATACAAATTCTCGACACAAAGCAAGTTTTCAAAGTAAATTTATGTATTCTAAGCGCCACCTTTGTTAAGAGTAGAATATTTTATTTATTTATGCATGCACATTTAATATGTATTTTCCTATATACTTACGACAGTGTAGTTATAATCTGATTTCATGTTTAATTGGAATGTTTTCAAGTTCCGCTCAATTTATTCGGAGTCGTATAAACCATTTAATACTGTTACTTATTGATTTCGGATTATATTTTTAGTGAATATTTTTAATTTTTTAATAACAGTTTTAATAAATTTAATAAGAGTCCCGTGGTGTAGTAGCTTAGCATTGACTTGCGGCGCTGAGAGCCGCGGGTTCGAATCCGAACGGAACAAGTATTTGTATGGCCTACACATAATTATTCCGGGTCTGGATATTTGTCTTTGGTCAATTTATATATGTAAACCGTGTCTATGATATTGGAGAAAATCCGTGTCTCAATATCAGTCTAAAAGAAATTTATGATTTTTGAAATTTTTAGGTTATCACCTTTTACCGATAAAATTTTTCTCTACGTGTTTCAAATTCCTGTAATTCACAGATATTTCCCTTCCTTCGTAGCTATTGCTACTAAGATATGATACATTTTATTTGCAACCCATTTATATATTATTTTAGCATTGGATAAATTAGAAACGAATTGCAATAGCTAAGAAGTTTTACTAACAATTACTCTTACTGCCCAAACTAAAGGAATTAATTAAATTTAATATGTTTACTTCAAATGTTCTCTGTCTCTTTAAGATTTATGCCTTTTTATTAATATTAGCTTTCTTTAAGTCTCGAGGCAAAAGGGCTTAGACTAAAATGTTTATAATTGTGTTAAAAATATACTTTCTATCTCATAGCATTTTCTTGGTATTAATGTTTGGTGCAGTATTTCTAATTGCATTGTATATTACCATTAAACAATAATTTTAGTGATAATGTAATCTCATTTTAAAAATTGACTGAACCGTTAAAATTTTATTTGTACCTTTGACATGCTTTTAAATGTCTTCCATATTTTCAATTTTTTTTTCAATATAACACGTCAATCTAAAATTCATAGACTTATTACACTAAAATTAAAGATTATTACAGGAAAGCAAGTCATTGGTATTACTCTCCGGAGCAACATTAATCAATTTTCACAATTTAATTATACTCAAAAAACAACTCAGTGTAAAATGTCAGTTCTTACAAATGTGCAATAAATAAGAGATAAAGTGACTTATACAAAACTTGATTGGATTGACCGCTTATTCGTGTTTACCGCTTTCCTTGTGTCAGTTTGGTGACCGACCCTACAGTAGTCCATGCCCGCTCATGTCTAAAATGTATTTTACTCTTTTGATATAATAGCTCCGAATTATTTTCTCTACAATGCCTCACATTGGGATATGCAGTATTAGAGAATAATGCATCGTCACTAAAACAGCTGATTTTCTAAGTCACATTTTCAGGACAGCTCTATTATTCATCACTAATGAATATTTCACTGTCGTCCAAACTGCACCGCTTGCTCTTCATAGTTGTATTTAAAATGGAAGGAACGTAACTTTATACGTGTCTATTGCTTTTGTTTATGACTAGATTAATATTTTCTATGTGTGTAGTTTGGGTGATGCGTCATTCCGAAAACTGATCTATTAGATTGAAAATGTTATTATTTGTAATCCTAGTTTTCTCAGTCATGCGCTTCCTAACAAGGGGATATATAATGTTTCATTAGTTTTTGGGCATGTATACTTCGCTGACCCTAATTACTTTCTGTGTTAATAAAATGATGAGTTACATTTCCTAGAAGTAATTTTGGTACATCACATAGTTTGCTTAATCTCGAGAATGGCATTAGTGTCTTCCCCGTCTGCTGGATCGATTTGTCGACAACGAGACTCCTTATTATACGTGATATGTCGCGATTTATGGACGATTTTCGTGCGTCTTATGTTTAACAATATCGTTATTTACATGCGTCTCCACGAATTTTTTAATAATCACGCGGCCTATTATTTCTTTCTCTCTTTCTCTTGGCCCACACTTGTTTATTTTTACTTTTTTTTTTAAATTAAATATGTGCACCCAGAATGGTAACAATTGTGATAATAGAGCTGTCATGCTTTTATAAGTGTAAGCGTTTCGTACAATCAACAACTTTTTTGCCACTTTCACAAGTCGTCTCTTCCACTGTATTGTGTGCTGTGCTAGCTGCTTTTGTATCTATGGGTTATCACCATGTTTTAATAGTAGTTTAATTTTTACCTTAGCACGAATGAGTATAAACTGATTTAGCTGGATGAATATTTAATATTAATAGTTTCATATATTTAACATCAGTTTTAGACGATCGGTTATCATGTTCGTCTAAGTTAAATTGATTATATATTTTTTATAAAATAGCGACAGCGAAATTGCTTTGAAAAGAATAGGACTGTTTTAATTTTTGGCACTGTATAATTTATGCACAATAATTTATTTCAAACCCTTAGGTTGGTGGTAGTATAGAAAAAAACCTCATTCACCATTGCTTAAAAATATTTAAATCCTTACTAAAATACCTAAAGATAACGCCGGATAAAAAATCTTAAGGAATTACATATGAAAAATAATTTTTGTTTTGGTTTTAAAGACATTTGCTTAGCTGAAAATAGATTATTTTAGTTACCTGCATGTCGATGACTGATAGTACAAATTGCAGCTAACATTTCATACGTCTTTGATAACAGTAGTGTTAATCGAATAATCTTCGAGGCAGATTCTTACATTATATAATACAAACATTGATTCCTAATAGTACAGACTGTTAGGTCGAGAGACATTAAATATACTGATATCCAAACGCTTACGTGTTCCCATTCAGCTAGAGTACGCTCAAACTACCAACGTATCGGAGACGAAAATCCTATCGATATTTCACAAGCATATTTAAATAAAGAATATGCAATGCATAAATGTTAATTTTTGTTGCACGTTGTTTTTTGAGCGACGCTGTTTTTAATGCATGTTTTGTCTGTCTTGCATGCAGGGATTCGGTTTTGTAACATTCGCAAATAGTGGTGATGCGGAGCGAGCACGAGAGCGTCTTCACGGCACCGTGGTTGAGGGCAGAAAGATAGAGGTGTGCATGACTCAATGATTACCGTCCGTAGCACTGTATAACTTTAACATCCCGCCCACGCCACCGCAACCTGCGCTCCTCTGCTCAGTAGTTATGCCATGCTAGAGCTAGAGCGCGCCCAGCCGCGCACTAAGTATGCCGCCCCGCCCTCTCATCTAATCCACAAACAAACCTTATTTATTTTATCCCTTTACTCTCTAGACGGTCATTTAAAATGCCGATCGATTGAGAGACTGTCTCACAGAGAAATGTAGAACGAACGTACCGTCTCAGTACTGAACGAGGTAAGACAGCAAACACATTTTAAGTTACATAATTTTAATTCGATTTCATTTTTAGTTAATTGAATATCTGATGTTTGGTTTTAAGTTACATAATTTTAATTCGATTTCATTTTTAGTTAATTGAATATCTGATGTTTGGTTTTAAGGATCCGAGAGTTTTATTATGTTAATTTTAAATGCTAAGTAGGTACCTAAAGACAATTTATCTTTTGTCACAACCAATACCTGAAATTTATTAACGTGTTAATTATGTAACACTTAACATTTTTAATATGAAAACGAACCCCTTTGAGACATAATATGGCATTAAACGTCTCATTTTACATATTTGCTACAACCATAACAAATTTGTCTCGTATTGAGATCCACCCTTCACATTACCATTATTTTATAATTATAAATATATTAGTGATTTTAAAGGTCAGAACATCACAAGGTATGTTTTATTGCAGATGAATAATAAAGAAATTTTAATAGGAATTCAGCACAGGACTGAGCGACCGATGACAATATACCTAATAGTTCTAAAACTCGACTAAATGGAATTATCGAAATATATTCATTGATTTTGTTTTATTTATATTCATATCCTATGAAGTAATTAAACTCTTTCTTTAGCATATTTTAACATATTGCTTACTTCCATTAGGTTAATAATGCTACTGCGAGAGTTCAAACAAAGAAACCACCAACGGTCCCCAACGGTGAGTACATAATTCTCAAGTACAGATAGTTTCGATTTAAATAAATATTGTTATAATAAATTGCTCATTAATATGTCAAATTAAACAAATAAAGTGTTTAAAACTTGTATTGATAAACTATAAACATGTTTTGTCTTATATAATGCATCTTGGTATTTTCTCTTTTAATCCATCCAGTTATACTGGCTAGAAATGGATCAGTTCCCACTTTGGGTGAGAGAGCTGCCATACTAAAGATCGGTGTTGTCCATGTTAATGTATTCACTTGTTACATGTTCGCTAGATATTTTGTCGGAATGCATGTAGGTGAATGCTATTTAGAGAACGAATCCACTGTCAACGCCGGAGACAGTCTGAGCCTAACCTACGCGCACTGAACAGCGCGAGATATCTGCAACCATGAAAATATTCATTTTTAACGGCTGGTTTTACATTCCGTTTTCGGAAAACATTAAACTGAAAATCAATTATGGAACATATAAATGTTAAACTTTACTTTTTAATTGGACTTTTTAGTTTTCTGTGAATTGGGTTGCATTATTTATTTTCATTTTACTAACTTAAAACTATTTTTTCATATCAGCACGGTAACGCATGAAGCTCTATTTTATGCTGTATAGATTTAAATCTAAGGGTAATTTATTTTCCTATATAAAATATAATTTACAAAGGCTGTCTCCGGTATTGTTTGCCTGAAAAAAAATTCGGATAACACCAAATTTAGACAGCTTGTTACGTTATTATTCCTCTTTCTCTATACATAAAAAATGTTTATCTTGACGTCTGCTAGAAGAATGCAACTTCAGTTTTGCACTATCAATATTTCTACTCTGTAGCGGAGAATGACTTCTAGGGCTGTCTTTATGTGCTAGTCTAGAAAAGTGTTTTATGGAAAAATAGTTCCGTCCCCTTTAATATTTAATTCCTTTTTGTTTCAGTGTGCGTCCAATGGCCGGAAGGTGAGACATTATTTTTATGCTCTTGGTAACTTCAAAATATTGACAGCTTTCGCGTTTACATTAATTACATAACATTCATTCGAGCATGAATTTTCCTTAATGATGTGGTGGGACTATATATGGTTTATTAGTTACTTCTGCTCGATGAAACGTTGATAATGTATGTCACGACATGATTTTAAGGCATTGTAAATTATTCTAACGGACATGCTTCTTTAGAACAGAAAGTAGGAATGTATTTAATGGATCGCACGGTGGTGAGCATCCGACTATTGTTGACACATGTGATTTCAGTCATGCTGTAATGTGGCATGGCCTTGTTAATCTCGAACCCTCGATGTGAGTAAGTTCAACTGTAATTGTCACGTAAATTGTCATGCATTTTAGCGCATAGTAATTATAGTAACATAGATATCGCTGTCTCTTTGTGATTAATGTTTGTGTGGTTCAAGCACTATTAAATCTGTATCCAACCTGGTATTCGCGGCTCCATATTGTGCTATACACGGCTTAATAAGATTTAAGTAATATGAAACATAGTGGGAAAATGTTATTGTTTTTTTATAATATATTGCATTTTCATAGATAGCTTGTGTAGTAAATAAGTAAACAAAGAAAATACGAAGTAAGTTTAAGTGAAGTATCGTTTCCGAGAAAAAGTTAAAGTAAATTACTAAAGAATTTTTCATAATCACGAAGTTTTCACAGTAATTACATTTTGTTTATGAACAAACAAAAAGCGGGTTCCTGTTACGATTCACATAAATTAAAGAATTGTAACAATACTTTTATTCAAGAAGTGTCATCAACGAAATTTGGGAAATACTTAGTTTAGCGTAAATTGTGTGAGCATTTTAAATAAAATCAGAAATAATGTAAACAACACAAAAAATCACTTTTTTCACTAATGGCATAAAGATATCAGATCTCACAAATATCTCATCCTACTTACATTTCTTCATAAATTCGTTTATTTCTTGCACATTTTGATTTAAATCAACGCCATTTTTATTATCATATTTTCTATGAATTTTAAATAAATATAATAAAAATAATCATTTATTATTAAGAAAACGATAAAAACTGAATGATTTTTTATTTGATTATCGTCCGGGAACAGCATTACGCTGTCGTGTTTTGTAAGTGATGAGAATCGCAGCTCTGTTTATTTCACTGGTAACAAGCCGTTTCACCTTAGCTCTTAGGGATATTGACGCATTTTGCATTTTATTTTTTATTCTGGATAGATGGGGGCTTATATTTTTTATTTGATTATTGTCCGGGAACAGCATTACGCTGTCGTGTTTTGTAAGTGATGAGAATCGCAGCTCTGTTTATTTCACTGGTAACAAGCCGTTTCACCTTAGCTCTTAGGGATATTGACGCATTTTGCATTTTATTTTTTATTCTGGATAGATGGGGGCTTATATTTTTTATTTGATTATTGTCCGGGAACAGCCAATTACGCTGTCGTGTTTTGTAAGTGATGAGAATCGCAGCTCTGTTTATTTCACTGGTAACAAGCCGTTTCAACTTAGCTCTTAGGGATATTGACGCATTTTGCATTTTATTTTTTATTCTGGATAGATGGGGGCTTATATTTTTTATTTGATTATTGTCCGGGAACAGCATTACGCTGTCGTGTTTTGTAAGTGATGAGAATCGCAGCTCTGTTTATTTCACTGGTAACAAGCCGTTTCACCTTAGCTCTTAGGGATATTGACGCATTTTGCATTTTATTTTTTATTCTGGATAGATGGGGGCTTATATTTTACATATTTTTTTTTCTTTTCTATTTTACATTTTTTTATAACCCATGTGTAATAAAGTTAGGTAATTTTTCCATAATATAAATTAATAATTTTAGTTTATTATGTCCGGAGAGTGGCGCCATATACTGAAATACAGGTTTTGGCCTAGTTCGGCAATGGATGCAATTTTCTTGTTACAAGATAAAATATTCCTGTGTGGTTTATAAATAGACGTATTGTTAACAGACTGTTGTAGCAAAACACTTACCATCACTTTACTGTGTGCTCGTTACCAGTACACGAAATGACGAACCAATCACAAAATGATATTTTTAGATAGTACATAGTTAGAATATTGTATGGATAACTATTAGGATAGATACAGTTCATTCTAAAGATTATTTTAATACAGGTGTAGTTATTACATCTAAGTAACATTTTACGGTAAATCAGTTCAATAAATAAAATGCAATTATATAATGATATTTTAATAATTTTAATAAATAGGTTTGAAATATAATTACGCTTTTACTAATTATTTGATTCATTTAACTGATCATTTGGCGTCGGTGATGGATTAATGTATAGTGTTACACTAAGAATTTTATTTTTGGTCAAGCATAAGACTCGCCACTTTTATTTACATTGTTTCTGATTTCATTTGAAACTATACTATATTTGATGCCACTAAAGCTAGATTTTGGTTATAGCTGGAATAACTAAAACTATGATAGTCGCTGTATTGACGTTACTTGAGGGATATTTAGTACAACTTTGCGTAAAGTTTGATCGAAACAATTTTACGTAAATTTTGTAATTGATAGTCGCCTTAACGAAACTTTGGACTGCGTCATTGTTAATAGTCGTCACTTCAACAATACTTGAGGTAAGTTTGCTAAGCATTCGGACAATTTCACGTAATTATTGATGTTGCTTAAACTTCGATAATCAAAAATGGAACTTAAGAGTTTTGTCTAAAGTTTGTAATCGATATTCTTAATGTCAACGGAACTTCCTATATTTTATTTAAATATTGGAATATTGGAGAAAACTTTTGGGTCGGGTCGCGCGGGTTAGGGATGGCAAAACGCAGTCGCGCTGCGGGGCGCGGTGTGTGCCGCGATGTTTGAGGCGCGGTGTGTGCGCAGGGCTGCGGGTGTCCGGCGTGACGTGGCCGTGGCTGGGCGCGGCGCCGGCCGCCACGCCCGCGCCGCAGCTCGTGCTGGCGCCGCGCGCCGCGCAGCGACGCAGGTAACCGCATGCCGCTGTTGTTTGCATGTAGCCGTGCTGCGCGCCCGCGCGCCGCGCGACGCCGCGCCGCCCGCCCTCGCGCACCTGCTGCCACGCGCCTTCGCCTCGCCGCTGCACGCGTACGCGCCGTGAGTACGAGCACCGCCCCGCCCCGCCCAACACAGCACCGCATCGCACCGCACCGCACCGCACCGCCAAACTCCGCGACGTGACGCGATGCGTGCGACCCATTCCCACCCCCCCGCACTCCCTCCTCACCCGCAGTTTACAAATATCCATACCCGGAACAATTATTTGTAAGCCATACAAACACTTGTTCCGTGCGGGATTCGAATCCGCTGCCCGAGGCGCACGGAGACACATCACACACATCTACAACACAAAATGAACTACTCCAGATAGCTTACACTACAGCACTTCATTACCTCTACCTCGGCTATCAGCTCGTAAATGGCTCAATGTTGGCAAATGGCTTTTATATTATAAGCCAGTACCTACTATCCCATTTAATGATGGAAGGTGATACAGCCTAAGACATTATATGGCACTGACTAAGTTAAAAAACCTATAATGTTGCCTCAAAGATTATTACAATATTTGGATATATTAGGATAACACACCACATTTGGCATCTCGTACAAGATCCACAACATAAGATGAGATGATAGATCCTTATGTACTGCCCCAGACAGAGCAAAACATTTTAGATGAGAATTTCAGATCATAACGGACGTATTTAAGCTGCAAATGTCCAAGAGATTACAAAATGTTTCAACTATGTGGATGTCATAGAAATGACGCGTTGAGCCGAGTAAACCATCAGTACTTGTTCATTTAGTGTCCATTTTCATTGCACGCAGTCATTGCCGAACCTTGAAAGAATAAAAGGTTCATATTTGTTAATATACTATGGTACTATAACCCGGCACGACGATGTGACCGTTCGCTTTTGAAAAATTCCACCCGTTTCACTCCCAATAACCACTCCTGTTAGAATAAACTTTTTCTGTATAATTTTGGATGAAAACATACGTCTATTCCAAAAAAAAACATTTAATGTAGCCTTATCAACTTGGAATTTCTACGTAGAGCTATTCTAATATCATGAATATAACACTCGTACGTAACGAATTTACATAATATATGTAATTACATATTAACCTTTCAGTGCATTACCGTCTTTTTGCTTAATTTAAATGTGGTTTTTCAACGGGATGACTGTGGTGGTGTTATAAAATCATTTACGTAATGTATTTACAGAAGCTTACAACGCGATTTATTAGTTTTCGTAGTTTTATAAATTATAATGGTACATTCATTTTGTTTTCCATGATTGACACGAAAAGCTAATTTCCATACTTATTATTGTACATTTCATAGAAGTGTATATTATAATAACAAATTAAATGATTTGAATTATTCAAACAGGAGACGCAGTGCATCCAATGCCTATCTCCCTCACTATCCCATCCTGTAAAAGTCCTACTACTCCGCAAATCTGCTGGTATGAAGTTAACATTTTTTTTTCTAATTAGATTAACATATCCGCACTGTGTAATTATTACTATACTGAACAAAGTTGAGTGTACGCTGCTGGCACTAATGCCCGTTGTCTGTTAAATAACTTAGCGTTTCGTAGGTATTTTGTACTAATGTTGCACAAGCATCGCATGTTTTAAAATCCTGCGCCAACGCTCGCTATCAAATAATTATAAGTATGACAGTATTTTTAGATGTAAATTGTAAAAATTCTTTCCGTAGTCTCTTCGCTGTAGATAATCTTTAACGCTTGTCATTAGTATTATTTTTTAATATTTGCAGTAAGCAAATTATTTGTCTGTGATCGATTATATTTATACATCATAAATAATAGTTTAAGAAATTAAAGTATCGCCATAAGGTAAAGTAACAAACTTATGAAATATTTTTCATATTGTGGATTAATTTCACATTATACGTGATTTGTTTTAATGTCTATCACAAAATTATACAGAAGTCAACTATGAAATATAACACTAAAAGCATAAATCACCGAAAAGGGCAACTAAGAAACTTAAGATTAGATTGTTGCTAATGGGTAAGGCATAATTTGCAGCTTGGTATTTATTTAATAAACTTGCTAAATTTTCCCGCTTGAAGTCGGTTACTATAACATTATTACTTGCAACTTTTAACACGAAGCCGACAAATTAGGTATAATAGAATAGGGTAAGTCACAAGAAAGTTATGTGTATACCTGATACTTATTGAAATATTGGCCCTCGTAAAAGGCAGCGAAAAAATAAATCATATTATGCTGAATTTATGATATTAATATATTAGTAACTTTCATAGATAATTAACAACGCCGATTAAAATCAAACAAGTTGTATAATTTTTGTTATTGTTTAAAGTGTATATGTTATAATAAAATAATTCATTTTGCAGTGTCTATTACGATCCCTTCCTAGCGGCGGCAGCGACGGCGGATTCCAACTATAGACTACAGGTAAATGCATATTTAACATTCTTTACGCTTATTTAGCCATATGTATTTGTGTTGTTTTAAATTTATCCATATTTATTTGAGTTAAATGTGTAAAAAATAAAACCAAGCGTAGGTGACCGTCCATGTGTTGTTGCAGGCCGCGAAGCCCGCAGTCGAGGTAAATCACCACGTGTTTTCAGCTCGGTTTCGATATGTGACTATTATCTGTTTACTATCGCTTTCTAATTCATGTTTCACTGCGCTAGTACCTACAAGTTTGAAAAAGTCGTTGTGGAGTGTGTGCTGGGACTTGGTTGCTCTTTCATTTATCCGTTTGGCTCCCGATAAGACACCGCAACGCAAGGTGCACTGTTTGTGGTAACAGGTGGACACGGCCGCTGCCCGGCAACCAAAGCGCTTTGTAATTTCATTCCAATCAGTCAGAACTGTGGTGGGTAAATTAGTATAGGCGCAAGCTGTGAACTGACTCGATGTACCGCCATCACGCTCCCAGTAGAACATTGAGCCCACAACACGAGACCCAATCATCAGTCTCCAAGTTACCTACTAACATTGTCTCTGTAGATCATGTAAGAGAGTTCCATCATTCCAATGTAGTTTGTATCATTACTTCCTTCATAATATTTAGTTTCTAATGCATGACACTCAAATATTCCGCCCTATGATATTTTTCGCAACAACCGACGTTGAGTATAATTTGGAATTTGCTGCAGGACTACATTAACGACGTCATTAATACCTAGGACATGTACGGGGGAACGTTGCATGATTATGTATGTAAATGACACGCCACGCAGAAATTACTGTTTTTTTTTTGTAAACTAGTTTTCGTTTGTGTGTATTAGCTTTTCTAGCTTCTGAAGAATTTCTTATAATATTGATAAATCTGATCGAATTTTGCCAAGTAATACATACATGTAAGTACTAGGTATTTGTGTGAATGATAATTTCACGCATTCTTCGACGACAACGGTTGCTTCACTTGGTAAGACAATAACAAACCATTTTGCTAATTTTTTTACTTACTTTCCATATTTTTAAAAATTCTTTAATCACTGATAAACAAGTACGTTTAGATCAAAATTTATTACTAATTGTGATTTTGTGGGTTCATTGTTCAAAGGAATAATGATTTACCAAAACACTTAAAATATTTGTATATTGTTAGGTTTCAAATTATTTCTCACAACATTAGTACAATTTTAGGGGTTTAAACTTGTATGGGTTCCTTCTATATGTATATATACACATACACACACACTCACACACACACTTATATATATATATCCTTCATATCCTTTTTTTTAAATGTATTTAATTAGTTAATTAAAGATTTATTTTAACCTTCCAAATAAAAAAAAGAATAGTTGAACACAACATTGTGACCAGCGCGACCGAGCGTGCCCGCCCTCCTGTTAATCCCCTGCTCGTACGTTGGCTATTTTGTAATAAAGTGTTAGCACTATACATTGATGAGCTGACTTAGTGCATACACAGAAAAATGATAATAGCACTCTTACTTTATATAAATGCATAATCTAGTCGACCTTTTCGGTTAAAAAATCCTTTTTTCGATGTGTCAATTTTGTTATATTCTATTAAAAATGCACCCTTCTTTGATATTCAGTGACCGCAAACATTTCGATTTCGAGAATAAATATTTTTTTTATATATATAGGTATTCATTAAGGTAAGTTGGTCCTTTGGAAGTCTGTGGCGGCGCTGTGTTAGCTTATAATAATAAGAATAAATAATAAATAAATAATAAGAGTAAATACGAATGTCTCGAGCCCGAGTTGAACGTAACGTTCAACTGGTTGCACATTTCGTAAAAAGGTACCGGAGCATAATATTATATACAAGGTTATTGTTCAAAGAGTAGCCAAATTTTAAACTTCAGTTCAAATATATAAATAATTATATAATGTTATTGCAGTTTTTGAAAATAGGAGTAAATAGGGCTTTGTACTTTTAATTGAAATCATCATTTCACAAATTGAATATGATTTATGGGTAACAACGTTTTTGCCTACCGATCGACCGTTTTTTTAATAAATTTTTAATCTGAATGTTTGTCTGTTCATCAGATGCGTTCTAACAATTTGTAATAATCCAGGTAACATTCTTTCTTAGTTCGCCAGCTCAAAGTACTGACCGACGTTCGATTTTGTAACAGATTGTCGTTAAGCATTCATGTGCTTTGAAACATTCTTTATTTCGTTTAAAAAAAGGACTCCTTCATGGTCGTGTGTAAGGCCTTTATAGGTACTAATAAAAAAATGAATTACTATAATAAACAAGTTACATTTCAAGCGTGAGCACTGTTGCACTTATCTTGTCGTACTTACAAATACAATGTTGTGCTCGAATCGAAGCTATTATATTATATAGATGTTTTATCTCACAAAGGTGACTGAGCCTTACTTGTGTGATGTTTAGAGACTAGAGATGCGTGCTTGTATTCACAACTGTAGGTAACGTTAACCAGCGCATTATTGAAAAAAAAAACTGTACGCAAAAACATACTTAAGTAGTTAAATAAAATTATTGATTTTTTTTTCAACAAAAAAAAGTATTTTATATACCTTTAAATTACAACTTACAATTAAATATAATTACAATTAATTATAATAACTTTACGGTCTATCCATCATTTGATTGCTCTAAATTAAGCAATACGTAATCAGAAACAAGTAAAGGATTATTATTTTCTTATATCACTGCGAACAACTCTTCTCCGTTTACTTTTCTTTCGGACGGTAGAGATCGTCTTATTTAAAACCACACACGTCTCACTTGCAGTTTTGGTAGCTTTTGTTACATTTACGGTATGTGAGAATTATAAAATCTAAATCTGCGCGCTCTTTTTATGGCGTTTTGTCGGATTTAATCATTTTACGTGATAAAAGTGATAAAATATACCAAAAATACAAGAGAGGTTGGTGCAATTTTAAATATTAGACGATTTTACTCGATTAAAATTTTGACACTCGAGTTTACGCACACTACAACAATATGCACCTACATAAGTAAGACCAACCCGCCAGCGTGAGATAGAAGTACTATACGTAAATCTCAATATTTTACTATCATTTTTGTTGTTCAATAAACAAAAAAAAAATTATGCCTATAAAGTTAAGATACGAGGCAATGAATGGAAGATATGTAAAAAAAAATCAGAGGATGCAGGCTATTAGATAATTGAATTGATGTGTGCAGGCGGCAGCGGCAGCAGCCGCGGCCGCGGCACCGCTGCTGAAGTCCCCGCTGACGTCGGCGCAGCACGCGGCGGCGGCGGCCGCGGCAGCTAACTACGGCGCGGCCGCGCGCGCAGCCGCCGCCGCCGTCAGCGCCGCACCCGCGCCCACGCTCGCCCCGCTCGCCACGTGCGTACTAACCCTTTAGTGAAAACACAACATGTTCACATTATTCAGTTTTTTTATTATATATGACAGGGTGACAAACGAGCACACAGTCCACCCGATGGTAAGTGGTTGCTGTGGCCCATAGACATCTACATCTATCCTCGATTACGAACCATAATACAGATGCGTTGTCACCCGTGAGGACTAAGATGGAATGTCTTGTTTCCAGTAAAAAGGGTCTCCGGTTCTCTACACTCACCACACGAAACACAGCAGCATTAAGCTACTATTTGAAGCTGGTATTCTGTGAGAGCGTGGTCCTTCTACGGTCGAGCCGACCCATTCCTGCTACAACTGTACTACTAATATAACTGCAGCATGGCTCTACCACGTATAATGTTTAAATTTAAATTTTCAGTTCACTTTCTAGTGCTGGAATGCTAGTGGAATAATGTGAATCGGCATTGGAAAGCACTGGAATGTACCTATTCCAGTAAGCAGTCCAGTCCAGTATACTTTTTTATTCCAGCACGCCCATTCCAGCGCCACTGGAATACTATAGACAGCTAATCTAGTGCTGGATTGAACATTGTACGGTTAACACGCACTGTTGTATTTTAGGGAACATGCGTTATTTTAGTTCTATAAAGCCCAATATTAGACTGGATTGACGTGCTGGATTATGGGACTGGAATAATATGAACCGAGCATTATGACGACGACTTCCTCCTTCTCCACACAAATATGCATGATATTTGTCCAGTATAAAGTAAGCGTGCGACATTCGGTGGACAACTATATGGAAACAATTATTCAATAACATGCCTTTCATACTATCGTATAAAGTATCAATATCAATAATTAACCATTGGTAAACTGCTTATGACCTCCTGGACGTTTTCAATCATGGCAACCTTAAAACTCTATCGCTCACGCTCGCGTCGCTTTCCACCACTTTTTATATGGAATTAAAATTATCAACGAATTTACAATCCATGAGATGGTAAGTGGCCCGTACAACCAATGCTTACTTGCAACTACCGGTTGCGTTACCGTTACAGCCTATTAAACTCCACTGCTGAACATAGGCCTCCCTATATATCCCTATAGGCCTCCTAATAGAGGGGATATTTGCCATACTTGCCACGCTCGGCAGGCGAGTTGACTACTACATAATTTTTTTACTTTTAATCGTTATTACGAAAACGCTGTTGCCTATCTCCTGGTTTATCGCCTCTTACACACCCACCTTATGATACTGAATAGTGGATATTCTTTCACCGCAACTACACGGTCACCTCTGAGTACTTAGATGGAATACCTCATAGCATGTAATTATAGTGGCTCTATATAATATTTAGACCGCATGACAACAGTGCAGGCACCGCTTATTGAAGCAATATATATCGTAAACGTAGTAAAAAAATACCTTTGATTTCAACCACAGCTCCAAATTCTAGAATGAGAAAACTGCACTCATTTAAATTTACACTTGCTAATGTGCTTATGGTATAAAATCCGAAGGTAAGGTAGGATGCAGTATTAAAGAAGTGCCCATACCTCTACTGTGTGCGTCAGATCGTTAATAAACACAGACAATAAAAAAGGACTCACAATGGGTCCGTGTGGCACGCCCATATTTGCATAAGCAGTTTTTCCTCTTGGTCTTAACCTAATAAAGTGTTCTATTTTGCTCCTGTCCTCCTAAAGATATTTACTAGTTGTCCTTTACGTTTATACCTAACAATAAGATCATCATAGTGACAGGTGTCTTCAATTTTACATTTTCGGGTATACAAATAATTTTGTTTTGGTATTTTAATTGAAGAACATATTGTAAATATATTTAAAATATTATTATTAATAGTATTAAATTCGGCCGTAGTCTTTTAAATTTTTAAGTTTGTATATTAGACAAGCGGTACTAATTTTACTTTTTACTTCAAAATTGCAACGAAATATAAGATAAACTCATTTCCCTTGATAAGCGAGTATA